GTCTGCTTCGACTATCAAGGCACCTTGAAAATAGCGGATCACAAGAGAGTGACAAATATACAAAAGAAGTAGAGAGGAAAAATGATGATAGTAAGGATAAGGAAAGAAAAGGCAGTAGTTCCTCGTAAGCAGTTCAAGCACAGTTATGACCATGACATAGACGAATCAGCCTGTTTACAAGTCTACTGAGCATAAGAACATGTTAATAATAGCTATTGACACAACAGCATTATCACAATTTTATTAATTTAAAAAAAATAGTTTTTAGTGTTGATGTTCTATCTCGGGGTAAGCAGAAATCAATGAATATTTGTTCCCACTCATGAATCAAACTCTGGATTCATGCTTGCGACAGCAAAGACCCTAATCCCTATATAACGGACAATGGTCGTTATTACAATTTTCAGTAACATGAAGCTGCAAAGTGTGTTCAACTTGAGAAAAATAAAAAAAGGGGAATGGACAACATGACATACTGTCATGAACGAGCACTCTTCATACATAAGAATACATTTTGGATGGTGAATGATTTAAATAAATGGCTGTAAACGTTTCATAACGCAATGAAGAGATCATGTAGGGGTGGGCTTCTTTGACCTTGCTTACCACTGCCATCCCTGGCTTTTAGTTTAGAAAGAGTTTTACAACACTTGCAATACAATAAAGTCGTATACTTGCTGAAGATTAGATGTGTTGCATGAGAGTACCATACACAAAGAAAGAGCAAAAACAGATAAAGATGACAGATGCTTTATAGGAAGAAGGGGCAAACCACACCAGAGCACTAGCCAACCACCTACCATCCTCAGCTGATACCCTGAGATATTCTACAAGGTAGAGTAACTTCCCCATCTGGGAATACAACTCACAACTTCAGAGTGCAATGACCAAAAGCCTAACCACTACAACAGAGATGACAGTATTTTAGTTTTAGTTTTAGTAAGAGTTTTACGGAACTTGCAACACAATAAGGTCATATAAGTGCCAAAGATTAGAGGTGTTGCAAGAGAGTAACAAACACAAAAAAGAAGGAGGGGAGATAGGGACGATGGATTTTTTTAAAGGAAAGAAGGAGCAAACCCCATCACAGCACCCGCCAGCCACCCACTGACAGTATTTTGGAATGTACGACTGACACAATCCATTGAAGGGAAGGGGTAGGGGAGAAAACCTAAGTCAAGACATAAATACAACATTCATTGCAGAGTGCTCTACCTTCATATGGAAAAACACATGGTCTGAAAGTGGACCATGCACAAAGAGATAGTGTGTTTGGAGGGAATAAAAAAGGAGACACACACCAGTTTGGCCCTTTAAATTTTTAGCAAGGCTTGGCCTCTTTGTGTGGATGGGTTAATTAATGACCGACAAGGGCATTTAATAGCGTATTTAAAAACAACTACGATGACATGAAGAAAAATAATGCAAGTATTGCAAGCCATTTTCATTTTAAAAAACTAAAACTGTAAATCACACCCTGCCATCCTACTTCAATGAGAATTTTTTCCAACTACAGTCCGACCTGTCTAAGAGAACCACCCACAGTCCAGGAGAAAAGTGGCCGTCTCAGACAGGCCGTCCTCTTGAACAACGTCATAGTCATTAAAATAATATAGAAAAATGGAAGGGGAGAAGTGGGAAGTGGTCGTTTGTGCAGGTGATCGTCTTAAACAGTCGGTGATTTGAGCAGGTTCAGTGGTAATATGTATGAAAGAAAACGTTACATTTTTCTGGTTAATCACATTGACATGACAATCATAGGGGCACCAAGTATACACAACACTAGATACTTACAAAGGTCATGAGCAGAGTTCCATAAGCTCCTTCCATGCCCACCACCTGGATAAGACAAAAAAATTAAGGTTTAAGTCAAAATAATGTTTTATTAAAATGTACTTGTCTCTCTAAACTAAAAACAACATTCCTTTGTATTCTTTTCATTCATAAGAACACTCGTGTGCGTATGTGTGTGTGTGTGTGTGCGTGTGTGTGTGTATATGTGTGTGCACACATACCTGCACTTGCTTGTCTCATGTCTGTTCCCCATATAAATCTAACCTTTAATAATAGTTAAAACATAAAATCTGCCTATATCAGTTGAGAAAACTAGATATTTGGCTCTTTCATTCTCTTTTGAAATATAGGCCATGAAAATAAACTCACAAACATCTCAGCAGGAATAAAAGCAAAGGTCTCGACAGATCACAACAAAAATAGGCAGGTGCCAAAGTCAAAGACACAATATTCTCTTTTCTTAACCCTAGTCTTCTGGATGGGGGCCTCGCAGACCCCAACAGGTATATTTCTGGCATTTCCGACAAAACTTTTGGTTCGATGTTATTTTCCTCCCAGGTATTCTTCAAACACCCTTTGATAAGCTTCTCTGTGGTGTCACACCACTTACCCAGACCAAAGAAGCAAGAGCACTGGCCACTGAACATGGGCAAAGAAAGAGGAAACGCTGTGGACTTTATCAGAAAAACAAGGACAGAATATCTTGTGGAATATCAGTTTGTGGGGAACACTCGCGTTTGTCTTCACTGTCAGTAGACACTCATATTCCGAGCACTTGTCTCCTGGTCTTCGGTGCCAGTACTGGTATCAAGTTACTATATGTACCACACTATTTTGGAATCATCCTAATTATGATTTACCGTAATTAAGTCTTCTTGGGCATTTACATGAGATTCATTTTTAACTGAAAAACTACCACATCATCATATAAATTCAATCTCATTATTCAGCAATAAAAACAGCATGTTCATGACATGACCAACCCACAATCATTAGGGAAAAAAAGAGCCAGAATTGCATTGATTTCAGTCTAACCTTATTCAAAGTTGTTCACCAACTAATATATATGATATATAAAGTTCAATAAATTTGTTCGTTAAACAGATTATTTCTGTATTTGTAGTCTTGGGTGCTTTGTTTCAACCTTTCTGTGTTTAAGTTTCTGTAAATGATGATCAACCACCAAGCTTATCCATAAAATACAAAAGATAAATAGTGGGGTCTGAGAGGCCCCCTTACAGGCTTCTAGGGAAATCGGACCATCCAGAAGACTAGGGTTAAATTAGATTGTAATCAACTTACTCTTCAAAATCTGGAACATGTTCAAATTTCCTTCATCATTTTAGCAAAAATTTTCTTTCAATTTTAAAAATTCATTTTGTGATCCTTGGATCAATTTTACCCAATAACACAACCTTTAAAAAAGAGTAAATAGAAAACACCAAGCAGTTATAACAGCAGTCTTTTTAATCCATACCAAGACCGTAATCTTGAAATCTTAACACAAAATAATCTGAAAATATACCTGAAGCGGGGGAAAATTCCTTTTCTTCAGGAATAGCTCCTCTAGAACCATTTGACTTGCACTGACTAGCTGACCAGCTAAAATCAAGGCAATACCTGAGATTGTTGAATAAAAAAACAGCATAAAATTAATCATAAATCAACCAAGATATTCATGTAGCATATCAATATAAAAAAAGTCATTTAATGAGGGAGAGTAAGACAGAAAAAAAGGGGGAAAAAAAAGGTAGGACCTGCCATCGTGGTGAAATAAGGTGCTCGTTAAAATTATGAGTTTCATCAAAACCAAAACAAATGAACATGCTCTAAGACGATACCAATAGCTCCAAATATGCCCAGTATTGGCAAGTGCCTTCTTTCTTAAAGCCCTGAGTTTTTTCTACCGCTCCCCGGAGTATTTTTCTAGTCACCTAAACCTAGTGCACTATGTCTCTTTAAAACCCCAAAAGCTTGCCTCCAACTTCTAAATAGAGGAAACAAAGGCTTAGTCATTACTAAAAAAATTTGGTTCCGGAATAGTTTCGAAAAACAAGCAAAAACTAGCACTAAATAAAATGAAACAGTTTTCACTAGTACGTTGGGGAACAGGGTTATTACCACCGGACGCTCCCAGTGTCCGATGGGGTTCAAAGAGTTCACCATGTCATAACACATATAACAGCTACTGAACACCAGACAGGAATAGACATACCTAAAGCAGCTTTTGACCCCTGACTGTTCTTATTTTTGAACACACTGGAGCATCCGACCAGCACCAGGCCTATCATGGTGACAAACATCCCCAGCCAGTGAATAGCTTTAAGCTTTCGTTTCAAGAACACACGCTGGGTGAAAAACAAAATAAAATGTCTGTTAACAATGGAAATAGAATATTGAGTTCAATTTCATTAATGACTCTCTATAACACCCAAGAAACATACAAACATAATTATTGTAGTTTCTTGGTGTTAAATGGAGGGGAAAAAACCCCCAGGGAAATGTCAATCAATATTACTTTTCTTTTTCAGCACTATCATTGCCTTACATTTTTGAAACTTTATAATGCTACAATAACGCTGAGGAATAGAAAAAATAAAACATACCAAAAAGTGTAACATATTTACTAAGCATGTCCCATTTACAATTTATTACACATGTATGAATCTTAGTACACCTAACTTTTATGAAAGACAAACTGCTCCTATAAAAGGCTTATATCAAAGGTAAAAAGAAAGATTAATACATGTAAGTACTATCATCTCAATTGAAGGTCACCATTGGTCTACGGAAGGGCAAAAAGTGGAAAAACAGAGCATGATGGTTCAATTTCAATCTTTACTGGGGGATTTAATTTTTCACACGTGATTTTGTTGCAGAGCAAACTTCCCTTACCATTATATTGCTTCTTTTTTTTTTCATTTTCATGTGCACGTGAGTTTTTCTAATTGGCTTAATATTAATATGTTACCACCAATACAAAATGGCCAAAGCAAGTGATGGATGGTATTTGCTTTCATGTCTGGATATATCTATCATTTTTATAACAGTTCAACACCTCTTTATACTTTCTACGAAAACTGAAAATGATAAAGTAATTCTAAATGCACACTTCAGTCACACTCACAGAAAGTATCCCAGCAAAGACGATGATGGCTCCCCTCAACATCTGCCACACAGAGGCATCCACGTATATGAGACCAATGCCTGAACAAAAAGATTTGAAATAGTTCAGGTCTTAAGCAAAGGAAAAAGAGAGTTTAATGCTAAGGGCTACAGGTGTCAGAATTTTTCAGTGAAAAGAATTCTCAAGCAATAACAGGAATTGTCTGAACTTAAAGAGTTGTGTTAGGCTTCTTTTATAGGATAAGAAAGACTATATCTTTTTGCTGGGATGATTAATGCCCCCAAAAGAAAATATATTTTCAACTAACATAATTGCAAAGCATGTCCAGAACAAAAAGAAAAGAAATTACATCACAATCTAGGTCATTTCACTACAATAAATCATTAAAAGATATCCATTTCAGGCACAAGAAGGTCGTCTTGAGTCACAATTAATTTTTAAAATAACAATACACTGGTGTGTAAGTAAAAAGTCAGACCAGTTAGGAACATCGAGCAGAAACAAACCAAGAGACCCCATGGACTTAATAAACATAAAGGTCTAAAAGAAAGATGAGTCAATATGCCAGCAAGTGTCAGCCAAGGCATAAATCAACCAGCTTACCACATTCGTATCGAAACAAAAAAAGAAGACAATCAGCACAACTGTATGCTCATTGAATAAATACTGTAAACCACAAACAATTCTTTTCCTAACAGTCAATATGGATATTCCTGGATATAATAAACCAATATCGTGCCACAAATTGGAAAAATCATACAACACAAATACATTTCATAATATGTTTGTAACCTCGTTTATTCTAGTTAAAAGAAGCACATTAAAACAAAAATGATCATTCAGTGAGAGGGGAAAAGTAAAACAGATATACAGAAACACTTTCAAAGGAAAAAGACACACCATTACAAACCAGTCTCAACCATGTCTCACAATTACCTGCTAGAGATGTGCCAAGCAAGTCACAGCATGTTGGAATTAAGAGGATCCACTGGAACACCCTGCAACCAAGTCAGAACACATAAATGAGATTTAAGGTCAGATGCAAACCCTTTTGCAGCTTCTCCAAAATCTATCCTGGGCTATATTTAATTCGGGCATTGCCACAAAACCTCAGTAGTCCTGGGCCTTGTTTATTAGTTCTTGTAAAGTCAAAAAGAGGAACATTACTATAGTATAACTGTATTAATCTTACAATGAAATAGAAAAACAACTGTTCTATCATCCTGAGAAATCTTATGGCCCTACTATCATTTGTAAGGGAATAATTAGTATTTTAGCAGCAATGAAACAACTTGAAATGCCCCCTTTCACTCCAAAGTTAAATCATATGGCGATAGAAGGGTTTACAACAATTCAGAGAAAATAAAAGCAATATTACATTGCAATAAAAAAAAAAAAGGAAAAGACAGTGGTAGAACAATATTTGACTTTGCAGCAACCAATTTTCTTCTTCATGTTTTTAATCTCATAATCTCATCATCAAGTCAAAGAGAAGGTAGAAAACAAAAGTTGCACAGAAAAAAAATAAGACCTACCCTATTCCAAACAATTCCACACAGAAAGTGAATAGTTTATTATATTAAAACAAAAACAGTCACTAAGGAGTATGTGAAGGGCACACTTTTATTCAAGTCAGTCAAGTTTTTTGTTAAAAGAGAACCACATTAATAAGCTGCCAAACATTATAATGAATGGCATTATAAATGGGTGAAGACAAAATTATTATTATTATAATGGCTATTCCTCTCAGCCATTAGAATTTCTTGTTGCAAACAATATTGGGACTACAAATTTAAAAATAATGTACAAGTATTCAGAAATGGTGAAATGCGACAGAATATATGAATATTGTATAATGACTTAAATTTAACACCAAAGCAATTCTTTTGATGTGTTGGTAAAAGAAAAGTTCATTGCGCCTCCTCATGCTAGTGCATTATGACAATCACAACCAGCTATTTCCTGTTCCTGAAAGAGAAGGCTGCAATCCCACATAACAACCCTACATGCTGCACAATAGGTCAAGGAGTTTGAAATAAGGGGCTATATTTTACTTTTACCAAGACATATCTTTGCTGAGAGACTACAAACACCATCGTGACACAATATATTATGATTTACTTCTGGCCTGTACCTAGGACTTTCAGGTGCTTCAGGCGGTTGGTGTCCCACTTTTGCAGACCACGCGATCTGAAGAAGTAAAAACAAAACAATCAGCTGAAAAAATAAAGATATGTCGTATGTAACAATTCAACTCTTAACCTTTGTTATGACCAAAAGTATAAATAATTGTTTAGCCGATAAGTTCAAATTCATATATTACATAAAAGGCAATATTCATATTAACCCTATCCGTACACCCTGGAGTCATTTTGTACCCCCGGGGTTGTATTCTTCACATTTTAGAATACTTCTAGTACGAAGATCTCTTTGAAATTTCCATTATTTCTCACTGAGACTGCTATGCAAAGCCAACGGATCAGATTAACGAGTAAATTTCCTCTTTGGAAAGTTGTGGCACAGAGTTCCCCACATCGTATGGATATGATAGTAAAACACGACGTACGGATAGGGTCAATCAACTTCTCATTGTAAATAGTAACACAAACACAAAAGGTCATAACTGCGACAGATAAAAGTACCTTATAAAACTACCAAATTGTCTATATAATGCAGACTCACCGCTTTTTCCCGCTCTTTTCTTTCCCGTCTTCTCATAACAAACAGACCAATTAGGCAAGTGCTCTCCCCTGCAATGAAGCATTTTTAAGCAAAAAAAGCAATGAATACATATGTCCAGGACACTGAAAATTTTAAAAAAGTATTCAATGAATGTACACTTGATTACCACAACAGCAAACAAAACAGAAATACAAAAACATAAAGAGTTAAGAGAAGCTTCAATTATTGTCCCACTAGATGAACAGTTCCTGGTTCAGGTAGACGAGCGCCTGTTTTCACCACAATGCCAAACATATGTTGATTCCATTAGGAATGGGATAGAGGGTGCCTACCCCGTGACTCAATGGGGATGATAGGACGAACATTAACTACCCCACCAATTGGCCTTAATTTATTTTAATTTTGGGTCTACTGTATAAAACTGAACATTCCTCAACATAAATTAGAAATGAAATCAATTTCACCATGAACAATTGTTTCCCTTGCTTTACATATATCATGTAAAGAGGAGAAAAAAATATCATTATAACATTTTTACATTACAAATAGAAAGAATGTCACATAATACAATTGAGACAGCATACACTCATTATCATAATTACTGTCTCAAAACAAAGTACACTCAATAACTTTTCCATTAACATAAAACATTCACTGAATTGACCTTATACTTGGGAATTTATAGGAATACTTTTTTCCAAAACTATTATCTGATTCCCCATGAGAAAAATAGGCCAAAACCAGTCAACTAAAGGGACCAACAGTCTCTCATTCTTTGGCAGTTTTTTAAATATAATACAAGTCTCTTTTCCCTTATTTCCTTAAAAGGACAAAATTTGTAATTTTAAATTGCAAGTTTTCAGCATACAATGTGTATAACTTTTAAATAAGGTCATGTGTCTTATGAGTTTAGAAGTACGCTAAAGTCTTTGTCATATGCCATCTCACCAACAATTTGACGAAGGAAGCATTTCCAAATTTAAATGCATGACATTCATGAGTGACATCTTTTTCTATATATAGGTATCAAAAACGTGCTTTGTTATCTGACCAACACCCTCTCAAGTTGATAAGCAGATTCATTTATCTGACAGCATGATAATGTTCAGCACTGATTGAGCAACACTTTATTGTGAGTCCTTTTTTTAAAACAGATAAAGAAGACAGTATGAAAAATGAACAACATACACTTATTTGACAAACTTGAGCTTTCACTTTTGTGAAAGAGAGGTAGCAGGGAGAGAGAGAGAGAGAGAGAGAGAGAGAGAGAGAGAGAGAGAGAGAGAGAGAGAGAGAGAGAGAGAGAGAGAGAGAGAGAGAGAGAGAGAGAGAGAGAGGGAGAGAGGGAGGGAGGGAGGGAGAGAGAGAGAGAGGGAGATGGGGGAGAGGGAGATGGGGGAGAGGGAGAGGGAAAGATAGACAGAGACAGAGGTTGAACAATTTTGTATCTCCAAACTGTCTGTATTACAATAAAATATAAAGTGGGGAGCATTCAGTATTCATTAGGAGCCAGGTTCGTCTCTTTATACAGGAACAGGGAGGGACATGACATATATATTCGTATTAAACCAAACTTTACCGATGAACATCAGCCAGGTTTGAAACCATGGATGGTCGAACTTGTGAGGTATTGCTGATGTTCCGTTGTCATTCTTATAACTGTAACCCTCTGATCTGAAATATTTTAAAGAGTCAAAATATATTTTCACAAGAGAGCAGTCTTATGTATCAATGATATGACACAATATCAAACATAAAAGAAATGAATCAGACTCAGTCTCGAACTCCTGAAGAGAGGTGCGACCTAGAAGAAGATTCAAAAGAGAAGTAAGGGGAATTCACTCACACGAACATCAGCTCATAAATCCCAATTTCGAGGCGAAGGCTTCTACATATGATGCTATTATGGTGAAAAACATTGAAAGTGAGAGAAAGGAACTCCCCACTTTATTCTATGATCAAAGACGTATAAATTACAGGGAAATCATATAAAAGTAAAACTGAAAGTGGAAATAGTAATCTCTCTACTTCTTGTGTGTTCACTTTTCAGACGCAATTGAGGTGTCATTATATAATATAGCTAGGTGCCCTTTCCTTTTAGGAGGCTAATTTCTTCTCCCCCCCCCCCCCCCCCCCTCTTCTCCTTCCTTATAAAATCTAACAGCACATGGACATTTTTCTAAAGAGAGACTTGTCCCTACCACTTTCATTGTCTCTTCAACAGTAGTGAACTCACATTCTTCACATGTCTGACCTGATGACTGTTGGAAAGCCTGGATTTTATCTTTCAATTCTACATTTGTGGCATGACGTGGTGGAATCAGGTGCTCGTCAATTTTTGATATAGGGTCATTGGTATCATCTGAAAGCCGATTTATTTGCCTTGCCTCCGATGAAATAAATATCCATCTATCTTGAATAGAACTCAAGTTATTTGCAATTGAAGGAAGTAAAGTTGCCTGGTTTCAGTGGTAAAATTAGCAAGAAAATGGCCACCAAAATTTGGTAAAACTAAGAGCTAAAAAGTCCTTGAAAACAGAAAAATGACTTGTTTTGTGCCTTTAATCAATGTTTTTCAGTAAAATTCACATCTAAATGTGTTATTATATGGACGTAAAAGAGGTTGAGCAAAAAATAAAAATTCAATAAAAATTTCCAAACTGGCGGTGAAATGCTTATTTCCCCGATTTCTGTATTTTGACGAGCGCCTGATTTCACCACGCTGCCTCACATTTTTTTAAAGCAGTCTTTGTTTAAAAGGTGCAGGGCTTCTAAAAGTATTCCACCACCTTAAGCCAGTACCATGATGATTACAACATTTTTTTTAATGTCTTCATAGATCTCATCTAGATTAATGCATTGTGACTCAAGACGATTATCGAGAGGCCCACCATAAAAACTAGTCTTCATTCTTATGGGCGGCTGAGATTTGGGCCGATTTTTATCTATCTGAGGGAAAAAAAAATTTTTTTTTAACTTGATTTCTCTTTTATCGATCCCAACAGCTCCAAATGATGGTAGTGCGCTATAAAAATGTTTTAAAGTGTTTTTTCTTTATATAGTGCATTTTTGTGTTGCCATTTGTGTGTTTGTTTGCTTGTGTGTGTGTGTGTGTTTTATCAATTTTTAAAATCCTGAAGCATCACGTCAAGCAGTCCTAGTCCAAGTATCCTCGGGTTGGGTCGTGTATCGCCCGACTCGTCGCTTGAAAACAAACACGTTTGCTTTTGAGGCGATGAGTCCGGCGTGATCGACTTGTGCCACGATAACTGCTTTGTGCCTTTGATCTGGTTAGCTTACCGACCCGACCCCCCCCCCTCCATGGGCACCCAAACATTTGCACGAACCACAGTCGTTCTAGGCAAACGACTACGGCCGACCGACCAAATGTACCAATAAATCTCTTATCCCTCATATGCAACAGTCGAGTGTTAGTTTCGTCAGTGCAGTTAGTGGTGTAAGGGTTAAAACGACTGTCACTCGTCCAAGTGTTTGATGTGATCGCATGGTTACTAGACCTCGGATGAGGCTTGTTTTGAAAGTAACAACAGACCTACGAATGTTTTCGATTATTTGTATGTCGTAATTGTAAAGTTAGTTATCAGGTTATCATCTGAAAATTCTGAGAGCAGGAAAAGATCAAACACGACAACTTGGGGCGAGTCAACAACTAAATCCGGCATCGGTATTTCGGAAAATAACGTTCCGAGTTCCTACTGACAAATGGTTCAATGAGTTCTTCCTGCCCTAGAGAAGAAGACAGTAAGTTTTTTTAAATATTTCAGCGAGAATGGAAGGTATACTGCTTTGGGGGTCAAACTGCAGTATTGCTTGCTACAGATCACACATACAGCCACTAAAACTGTCGCAAGAAATCAATTACTTTCAAGAAAATTTCAAACCCAAATCAAAATATATGGGTTATAATAGGGGTAACCGGTCATTTCATCACACCCCAATTGTGCGTGACGAAATGAATTCGCTTATATCTCTCTCCAAAATTGTTATAATGCTAGTAGAGTTTTGGAGGACATCAGCCTTACTAAGCTTTTTTCAAAGTTTATAAATTATTAAAGTAAAGTAAATCTTCGTCTAAACTATATATATATATATAGCTGAACAATAGTTTTTAAAAGCAAAAACAATGTCTGGTAAAGAGTCAGTAGGGTTTTGTTGGAAAGTAAGGGTCTAGATTTTAGCAAAATTACAGTAACCGTAAATAGCTTATTTATTTTTAACAGAACTATGATCTTACCAACCACACTTTTCATCAATAATACTTTAAAAAACTTTCTCTTGATCTGACTTGATAGATTTCAATGTTGTCAATAGGCCTACATATTAATGAGCAGTGAAGCTGATCAGGAGGGCACGACGACTCGCACAGCCCCAGCCCTCCCCCAAAAATCGTGAGCGATTGCCATGACAATAGGGGTAAATAGGGGTAACCGGTCATTTCATCACACTCCAATTATGCATGATGAAATGAATTCGCTTATATCTCTCTCCAAAATTGTTATAATGCTAGCAGAGTTTTGGAAGACATCAGCCTCGAGTCCGTATAACATTTTTTTATATTCGGACTCGAGTCCGAATAAAAAAAATGCTAGGCACTATTTCTCAGAACGTTCTGGGAAATAAAGCTGGGCACTATTTCTCCGAACACTCTGAAATCACATCCTTCCCGCAAATTTCGGATATTACATAGACCTACCAAAGATTGTTCGTATACAATATGGTTCAGTCGGTCCAAAAAATGTCCACAGTAAATATTTATAAAGAAATGCTACAGTTCCAAACAGTTTTTCGCTACAGATATGACGTGTTGCCTATGAAGAGTGCTCTTAATGTGTTGTGTTCACTCGTGCGCTGTCTGATCTAGATCTACGGAGGGTTATTGATTTAACGACACATAGAACTAGCTTCTACGTTTGTCGCGGCCGCGACCAATCAATCGTGGCTCGATTTTTTAAATATTTTTTTGGGAATAAAAGTCAAATTTTAAAAAAGAAGAAAAAAAAAATAGAAAGAAACCGAACCTCTTTACTTTTGAAAGAAAGTTCAACTTAGCTCCACTTCGTCTTTCTCACTTGTTGTCACCACGTTGATTTGTTACTTTTTATTTTCCCCTCTTTGACTCTGTGGCGTTTTATTTTGTTAGTGTGTAATTTTTTTTCTTGTTATTGTTCTCATGTGTTGTTTTTCTTTCATTTTTTTTTTGTTGGGGAAAAAGGGGGGGGGATTGTTGTATAGTGTAACGTCATTTAATTTGATGTTTCTACCTTCATTAGATTCTAAATATATATATATATATATCTAACGTTCAGTGCTTCCAATTTTCCGCCATTTTTTAGTTTCCCCCACACCTTTTCTGCCGATCCAATGCCCGCCGCCTCATTGATACGCCCCCCCCCCCCACCCCCCATGTTTCCCACTTTCTTTGTTGTAGAAAAAGGTAAAATTGAAGATTAGCAGACCACCTGGCACCTGCATATTATTAGCTGTGTAAAAAAAAAAAGAGCGATTCGTTCAAATACACAAGCCTGTGTCATCTCAATAGTTTACCAAGAAAAAGTTGTGTTGCTGTGTAGAGCTGAGCATACGGCAACTTTTGATTCCATAGACCAGTGTACAATTCATTACGTAGATCTACGTCAAGACTAGCTTTTATAATTGTAATGATCAGTTGCCGGGGGAAAAAAGACTGATGCATATGCGACGTTCAACGCCCGGACCGATAGTGCCCCCCCCCCCCACCCCCCTCCCCGACACGCACACAGCCACACGTGTGCAGGCTGACCATACGACCCCGACACACGCTAACGAGCCATCTTTAATTGCTTCTGATGACCTCTTGACAAATAAACATTTATTAGAAGCGCTATAACTTTTCAGGCCGGCCTCAAATTCATCAAGATAAAAACTCGGCTCCTGCACAAAACGCCATTTTGCCTGAAGTGATTCCGGTCTCTACCCAGCCTGAGGAGAGTCACGAGTGAGGTAGGAGAGGAAGCCGGAGTCACGAGTCACAGGAAGTCGGAAGTGATGTCATGCTGGACAAGAATCAGAGTCCGAATAACATAACTCGGACTCGAGTCTTTGATGTTCGCAAGTGTGCTACGAAATGACCGTCTCCATTCAACCTTGTGGATTTGGGGTGTGACTAGATGACCATGACTGCACTGGTGTGATGAAATGACCATGTGACAAAATGACTGGTATTCAAAACAAGGCGGTTTGCCACCCTGTATTAACCCCTCAGATTTTTTTTTCCCAAAAACCCCCCGATTGGTACAAAGAGCGCAAATTACTACGTGGTTAGGCATAGTGTGATATAGCTCGATTAAAATTAAGAACCATCAAACATTTCAAAAACTGGTTAGCGACGTAAATGAAGTTGATATTCATTCGTGTTCAGCGCATCAAATATTTAGATCTAGATCTAGATCTAGATCTAGTAGAAAATGACTGACAACTGGTAGCTAAGTGTGAGACGAGAGGGAGAGGCTAGCCGTACTTAATGCGGGAAAAAAATCTGGATAGATATCTAGATATGTAGATCTAGAATAGTCTAGAATCTATATCTAATCTAGACTCTATATATAGATCTATATCCCGACTAAATCGGGATGAGAGAGGCAGGTCTTCAGCTTCAGGAGCATGAAATAGGAGTGGAAGTTAAATAATACCAGATTCAGGAGAGATAACAGGAATATGAAGAGTCTCCTCTGAGAATAATAATTTTAATTCACAGGACACAACAGTAAAAGTAGAGTCTAGATCTAGATTAGATCTAATATAGATCTAGATTCTAGTCTAGATATATATATATATATATCTAGTAATCTAGAATCTAAGTAGAGACACAGTTGCGATGAGGTCCTCACGAACAAAAAGTCCTTGATTTGGCGTCTTTGGAGACCTATCTGGAAAGCTACACTAACTTTTTTCGGACAGATATAGTTTGAAATTCCAACAAAATACTAATACTTACACGCATTGGAGTTGAGCTTTTTTGGTAAGAGTATTTATGCTCCCAGTCACCAACATCCCAATCATGAGAAGAACCTGTTTACATGTCAACGCCATTTTGAATCTAGTAGTGAATCATGTGAGATGTCACGTGACCTTAACTAGGGTTTATAACTCATAATGTTCTGATAAAGTAGTCGTGAGTTTACTTGATTACCTCCCTTCTGCCACCACACAATTAAAACAGATTAAAAATTTAAATAATAAGCCCCACTACGGCTGGATCGGGCCGATCGCCTGAAACTGAAAACAAACACGTTTGAGGCGATCGAGTCGGGGCGATCGGCCTGATCGGTCGATCTCAGTCGTAGTGGGCACCCCGTATAACTGAACCGTGTTGCTGGTTTCTTACCGTTGGGTCAAAATCACGATTATGTCAAAGATGATGCTGGTTATATCTCAATAAAGTTATTTCTCTTGTAAAAATGTATATAATCTGATGAACTTAGACCTTTATTGATGACCTGGGCTTGTTTGCTTTGTTTTGTTTTGTTATTTTTTTTTCATTTATTTTTTTTCGGGAGGGGGTGGGGTGGGAGGGGGTCGTAACTTTTTTAAAGAATGAGAACATGGCCTACTAAAAATTTTTTTTAAATTAAACAAAGTTGGTAAAATTTCAATTTTCGAAATGTGGACGAAAGAAAACATTTGGACTATACTTCTACAGTCGCCTGCACCATCCATGTTTCTTACCAACAGCATCAAACGTGTATTCTGCCCAAAAGTGTTTTCTCATATTCATCTAGCAAGCCGATCCTATAATATAGTAGGCCTATAACTTAATTGGATCTTCTCAAAACTTTCCTATAGGATTAACTTTTGATAGGGTGATTTCATGTAAAATTGTTTAACACTTAAGTTCAACCTAAAGAAAAAACATTTTCACTCCATTGCAAAGAAGTCGCTAAATGATAGACATTATAAATAGGCCTACCATTGTCAAAGTAAGCAGGGGCCAAGGCTGACTTGTTTGACAGGGTAATCAAAATTCAAAATGAGATGGGACCAGACAGGGCCTGGAGATAGAACACTCACACAAGTCACAAGAATCTTACTGGCAGGCACTGGAGGCAGCAACTCTGAGTTGTGAATGAAAACAAATCTTGAATTCATGTTGTATGCATATTCAACCGCTAAAATAATCGGGAAAGTATTTCATTAAATATTTATTCTAA